TGATAACAAATGACATTTAAAAACACTCATTTAAAAGCAAAGATAAAAAGCAAAGATAATAATAATGAATAATGAATATATCAATTAAAAGCAGCGGCAAAAAGAAAAGTCTTCAGCCTGGATTTAAAAGTCAGAGTTGCAGCGGACCTGCAGGTTTCTGGGAGTTTGTTGTTCCAGATATTTGGAGCATAATAACTGAACGCTGCTTCTCCATGTTTATTTCTGACTCTGGGGACAGAAAGCTGACCAGTCCCTGAAGACCTGAGAGATCTGGATGGTTCATAATTTAGCAGGAGGTCAGAAATGTATTTTGGGCCTAAACCATTCAATGCTTTATAAACCAGTATCAGTATTTTGAAATCAATTATTTGACACACATGAAGCCAGTGTAAAGACTTCAGAACAGGAGTGATGTGATCCACTTTCTTAGTGTTGGTGAGGACTCGAGCAGCGGCGTTCTGAATTAGCTGCAGCTTTCTAATAGATTTTTTTGTGAGACCTGTGAAGACACCATTACAGTAGTCGAGTCTACTGAAGATAAAAGAATGGACAAGTTTTTCCAAATCCTGCTGTGACATTAGTCTTTTAATCCTAGATATATTCTTTAGGTGATAGTAGGCTGATGTAGTAACTGTTTTAATGTGACTGTTGAAAGTCAGGTCAGAGTCCATGACTACACCTAGATTTCTGGCTTTAAAGGAAGATTTGATTTGTAAAGTGGCTTACCGATAGACAAACCAAAATGACTGCAGCTTTTAAACGCTAAGTAAAGTCCCCACTCTGCTCTCCATATGTTGAGACAATACAGTCTGTGGTTCACACCCAATGCTCCTAATAAAAAAGAAGGGAAAGAACTCTCACTCTGATCTATTTTTCAGGGCAACACATATTTTAAAAACTTTGAATATGCAAATTGCATATTCCAGATAATGTCTGGAATATGCAAATTGCATATTCCAGACATTATCTGGAATATTGTCTGCTTAGTAAGCAGACAATATTCCAGATAATGTCTAAGGTTCAAAGCAGAATAATTAAATTAGTGCCAGTTTGTTATTATAATATAACAGGATGATTAGAGACATTTCTAATTCAGTTAGAACAATTCTTCTTCTAGGACTATTTATTTAGTCATTCTTTTTTTTATAATTTACTTGTAAAGCGTCTTTGAGTACCAGGAAAAGCGCTAAATAAATGTTAGGTATTATTATTAATAGTTTAAAAAGTTTATGAATATTCCCTGAGTAAGAATAAAGTATATTTTTTGGCTAATCATTATTGGCGATGTAAAAACTCAAAATATAAAAAACTAGGGATTGAATTTGGGGTTAGTTTTATGATTTATATTATAAGTTTTTTCTAAACCCCTGGTTTTGGCCCTTACTACCAACCACATCTTCTATATTTGTTTAAACCCCAGAGTGATCATCTTCACTATACACCATCTATGCTCGCCTCTCAGTAGCAGTAGCAGCTCTGTCTGGATCAGTGGAGATGGGCTGAGGCAGAGACCCGACAACACCGAGACCAACACCCGCTGACTTCAGCAGTTACAGGAGGGAACACTCGGGTAAGATGACCCGTAATGTTTAACACAAGTAGATAAACTAATAAACATGGGTTCCGTGAAGCTAAACATGCCAGTTATAGTTAACGGGACTAGCTAAGGAGAGTCTCCAACGGTAGCTAGGTTATCGTGTATGACTAAACTTCTCAGCCAGTTAGCTAACGTATGGTTGTAGCATGTTTAACAGCACAGGAGTGGCAGTTTTAAGTGACAAATTAATACAATTTTGAATGTTTTGTTAGTCGTTTTACAAGTTTGAGACGTGAAGAAACAGTAGTTGCTAACAACGAGCTAACCTGAGCCGTGTTTCCCAGTTAACTTCAGGCCAGAGTCCTGATGCTGCTAACACTAATGTTGTCAACGTGTTGTGGTATTCTGACGTTAGCTAGCTCAAACGTTAGCTGTCTGTCATTCTAACGTAAAGTGTTATTTTAACGTTAACCTGCTCAGAATGTGGAAGCTCGTCGGTTTTAGGCAAAGGTGGAAGAAGTACTCAGATATTGTATTTGAGTAAAAGTAGAAGTCCCAGAGTGTAGGAATACTCAGTTACAAGTAAAAGTCCTGCATTCAAAATTACTCAAGTAAAAGTATTAGCGTCAGAATATACTTAAAGTACCAACAGTAAAAGTACTTATTATGCAAATCGGTCCATTTCAGAATAATATATATTATGTGTTTTCATGTTAATCATTGATGCATTAAAGTGTTATCAAAGCTGGTAAAGGTGGAGCTAGTTTTAATGACTTTGTACACTTCAGGGTCGTTTGGGAATGTTACTCCAGGTGTAACTAAAGTCTTATTTAAGAGTTGTTTATATTTCACTACATTAATCCAAATCTGTAAAGTAACTCAAGGTATTTAATAAATGTAGTGGAGTAAAAGTACACTTTTAACTCTGAATGATAGTTGGATAGAAGTACAAAGTAGTAACACATTGAAATACTCAAGTAAAGTACAAGTCTCTTAGAATTGTACTTAAGTGCAGAGTTTGAGTAAATCTACTTAGTTACTTTACACCACTGGTTTAAGGTCGTAATTCAAGAGTCAGTGTTACTAGTTAACCCTACCTACTGAATATCTACATTTTGTGCAGCTCTTGAAATGAAAACCCCACACGAGCATTTAGCTGTGATAAACAAGACCCGCCTGACTGAGTAAATGAAGGCCGAAGCCTGTAAAACCTGCTTTAGAGAAAGACGCTAACCAACAATTACTTATTTTTTTGTTATGGAAATGACTTGTCCCAGCCTTCACCTGTAGAGTACCAATACATTAAGCTTATTAAGCTTACATTTATACCCCAGTGCTTAATCTCATAGAGAATGATTTCATTGGTCCTCAAACTAAATGCTTAGTACTACTTTACTGCACAATGAAATGTGATCTCCTTAACACCTAGATTAGTGATTTGTAAGTAGGCATTAAAACATTTAAGCTTCTCCTTCACATTTATTTCCAGCTGTTGTTTGGATTCGATGACACAGCAGTAGCCTTAAACCATGGAAAGAAACCTGCTGGGAAACCCAGCTGGTCCCAACTGTTGTTTTATGACTTGTCTTGTGTGACCAGTTGGCCGGCATGTGTAAAGACTCGGACTGAGCTTATCTTTGCTGTCTCATGGTTGTGACTCTGCATATTTTCTGGTATTACTTGTTACAGTATTTCTTGCATCATAAAGGAAGTGCTGGTCTTTAACCTCCCACTTGTGAGCACACAGAATGAGTTCATTTGTACATTAGTAACCTGGCAATGATCTGTTTTTAAAGTATCCTGGTTATGTGCTTGAGCATTCAGACATCATATCATGGCTTCAGAAACCAAGCTATGACACCTAGACTACTCAAATAGAAACTAGGATAGTGTGGATTTGTCCTCAACATAATGGATAGATAACACAAGTAATACGTCTATAAAAAGCCAATGTAAGATTGCTATGCAGTTGTATTGTCAATTTGTCTTTTAACTTCGTATGAATGGGGATAAGATTGCAAAGCCAAATCCAAAATAGTCGTGAACTTCATGCAGTCATGTCTATCAGCCAGATACCAAACTGAGTTTATTCCTTAACTGCTGAGGTAACTCTGCCTTTATAGATAAGACAATGATTGACTACCCCCTGAGAAGAAGAAGAAGAAGAAGAATAGAGAGGGATGAGACCCTCTTTAATGGTCACACATGCAGAGCACACAGCACACACAGTGAAATTTGTTCTCTGCTTTTAACCCATCCTAGTACCGGGAGTCTAGTACTAGGAGCAGTGGGCAGCTATTGTACAGCGCCCGGGGAGCAATGGGAGTGAGGGGGGAAGAGGGGTGTCCGGTGCCTTGCTCATGGGCACCACGGCAGTGCAGGAGGTGAACTGCATAATGTTGTCAGCTTACATATCAATTTGGGTTACAACTTCATAAATCCAATATTACTATATACTTAGTATACATGTGTTTCCATACTTTGAAGGTAGCCCACCAACATATTTGTTTAATTGAATGAAAAGCAGTAGGGAACAGGGTTGCCTTTCACCTTGTTAGGATCTTGTTTTGCATTATCTCTAACATCTATTCTGCCTCACTGAAATGCATGGGCATGCATGCAGATTAACTTGTGCACATCACCTCATTTACAGGATCACTAAACTCTCCACAGAGACGTCTCTCACGGTCACATAACAATCACTGTTTGTGCGGAGCTCAGATAGTCGTCTCTGACACAGTTGCTCTCTTCTCGTGCCTGTGATGACTCGGTAGATGCAGGGACTAACTGAGATGCTCTCAGCTCAGAGTCCATGCACAACAACCAGGCCTTTTGTCCCTGCTTTGCCCCCATCCGCCCACACAGTGCTCATAATGTCCTGGAGAAAGAGCGTCTTTATCTTTGCTTTCCAAAGACTCATCTCGATCACATATTTTAGGCTGGGTCCAAAAAAGACAGCAGCTTAAACAGTCTAATGCGACAATATGCCCACAGTAATGCTGCACCCACCCACACAGGGTTTGACATTGACATGAGTGCATTCACACACGTAGGCCCAAACAGATGAACTATTATCATTTACTTTTTTGCTTATTTTCAGAGAGCTGTAGGTTTCAGGGATGTGTCAGGTTAAATATTGCACATTCTTTCCTGCGTGGCTCCTGAGGGGGTTTGAGTTGTTTCTTTGTGTCAAACATGGCTGAGCTTAGTGGCGTATATATATTTTTTCAACTCTGCTCAATTGGGTGCTCAGCTGTGGAGGGAGGGAGAGAGGGAGGGGATAGAAGGGGCTGGCTAGAGGCTTGCCAAATCGGATGAGAGAGCATTTGGGAGGAGATAGCCCAGAAAGTGAGAGAGGAGAGGACTGCAAAAAAAAGAAAGAGCAAGCCAGGGTGGGTGGAGATGTGAGTAACAGTGTGTAGTGAGTGTTTAGGGAGGGAAAAGAGGGACACGGCGGGAGCAAAAGAGGGAGAGAGAGAGTGGGTGAGGCTGATATAAGAGGATAAAGGCGGGGTTGTGGTTTGTGTCACATGATCCTCTGGCAGGCTGCAGCCCAGTGAGCTCCAGGTGGCAGAGATACAGCAGATACAGAGAGAGAGAGAGAGAGAGGGAGCGGGTCACACTAGCAAAGCCTCTCCACAAAGACAACTGCAATTCTTCTTTTCCCCTCGTGACACATCTCTCCTTCCACTCTTTCTCTGTCCTTCAGGACTTCTTCCCGGTCCCGCTTCCCCCCCCCCCCCCCCTCTCCTCTCCAATCCCGGCCCCCGCAGGCCAGGGAATGTCCCGGCAGCGAGATGCCTTACACGGACCGACAGAACCGCACCTGTGGCTTCCTGGACATCGAAGAGAGCGAGAGCAGTGGCAAGTTCCTGCGGCGATACTTCATACTGGACACGCAGCTGGGGAGCTTGGTGTGGTTCATGGACAACCCTCAGGTAACTACACAGGGCGGTGTTAGCTTAGCTCTTAGCTTTATGTTGGAGAGCAAATCACAAAAATAACGGCACAGGCCAAATAAACAACAATTGTAAAACTTACAGGCAACTGCATCCCAGCTAACGTTGGTGAACAGTGTGGATGATTAGCTCTCATGCGATGCAGGGTAACTGCAGGCCACTTCTAGCTAAACTGTCGTCATTCATTATGAACACAAAACTAAGTACAGGCTGAATGTTTCCATTTCCAGACAGTCATACATGGATGGGAGAGTTTGTACAATTATGTAATTCTAGCTGATGGCAATAAGACCCATATTACAGGCATGGGAGTAGGTCAGGGCTAGTAGTGTATTTGTGTTTTAGCTGTTTACAGTTATTACAGTGTCAGTGTCCTGTTGGCGTGTACATCATGCTGGTTTGGAGATGCTGTGTTTTTTCAAGTGCTCTGTTGTATGAAGTATTCATAAATCATGTAGTGCATGAGCGATTTTAAATAATTCAGCAAGTCTCTTTCTTTTTATAGATTGAAAAAGCTTAAATTTTAATGATGTTAAATCTGGATCCTGTAGTTTCAGAAGCACAGAAAGAAACGATCATGGGGTAAATGTCATAGTTATATATACTTGTGCTTTAATATTGACTTCCTCTGCAGTATTTGATTACACTCTCTAAACAAATGATATGATTCATAACTAAAGCTGCTGGTAATTAGCTAGTTTTAGCTTTCAGTTTATTTATTTTTCACACAGTATATTGTTCTCTTTCCCCACAGAACCTGCCTGTTGGCACAGAGTGTGTTGGCTCCCTTAAACTCACTTACATCTCCAAGGTGAGAATACATTTTACCACTGAAGTGCAACTGACGATACCATGATACGGTTATGCATGAATATTACTCATTGACAGTATTTGGTTTTACTGACTAAACTGACAAATGTGTTCTTTGTCCTCCTTTAGGTCAGCGACGCCACTAAGCTGAGGCCTAAGGCAGAATTCTGCTTCGGTAAGAAAACACTGATCATCACAGTCTTTCTATCTGTCTTTAATGTTTCAGCATTAGGCGCTTTCACACCGGAGAACTTTTCCCCGTACTTTTCCCTTTTAGTTCCGATATTTCCTGGGATTTTGCGTTCACACCAAAAAGAGAACTTAGTTCATGAGAACTTCCCCCCCCCTTTTTAGTCCCTGCTAGAGAGGTGGTACTTTCCTGGGGAGAAAAAAGTTCCAATTTCTGATTGGCTGGGCGGATTGCAAACCACGCCCCGTAAAACTCTTGTGAAGCCGCCATTGTATTTGCTGGCATTAGCATTATTAGCATTAGCATTAGCCCCGCGCACCAACGGAGAGAGACTAACTTATGGCAATACAAAAAAAAACATGGGAGCGGTGGAGATGAGGAGGTGTCGGCGTTCTGGCGATTTTCAGTAGAAGCTGCTGGGAGTCCCAGCAGCTTCTACTGAAGCCAGTCCCCAACTCCGGGGACTTCCGGCCGGGGACTTCGGGTGGCAGTATACGCCGTGAAGTTGTTTGCGGCCTGCCAGTAAACCCAAAGCAGAAGAAGAAGTGACGTCAGCGGCTTCATTTGCGTAATCTTCCCTCAGGAACTTATTCCGGTGTGAATGCGATCTGCTCTTTAGTTCCATGGGGGAACTAAGTGCTGGGAACTAAGTACGGCAAAGTACTTGGTGTGAAAGCGGCTCTTGGGAACACTAATTTGAGTCAAATGATATAACTTATAAAGAAAGATTTCACTGTTTTCTCTACAGTTGAAATCTTTTAACATTTACATTAGGAGTAGCTAATGTGTTTTGGAAAATATGATTGACATTATGAGTCATATTAAGCGGTGAATCAACTTTTTCTAATAATCTTGTTTGGAACTTGCCTGCAGTGCGTTGCTAACAGCAGCAGTGGTGGTGTGATTTATCACATGTTGACTAAGCTAAGTACACCTAATATAACCTAAGGGAGAAATGTTTACTGTCCTTCCTCAACCTCTAAACCCTTTTCAGCCCTGCTCTCTACAAACTCTCTCCACCATTGACCAGGCAGCCAACACCATCTGTTTAGCCGACACACAAAGATGCTGGAGGCTGCAGCAGCTAGTGATCCGTGTTAGGTTCAACTATTTTAGTAATGTTTTTGGATTACATAACCTTAAACAACCTGATGCGTCTCTTGGATTATGTTTTTAAATCTGAAGCCCAGCAATTGGACATTTCTCCATCCATATTTTGCTGCAGAGAAGCCTTTCACAAGCATGTTGAATTCATTCCCCCCTCCAATAACATTTGGATTTTTCTTAATCGTTTTAAACCTTTATTGTTTTCATTAGCTTGTGGTCCATTATAGCTTGTTATACCAATAGCTTTTGAGGTACATTACAACCGAGTAATGTTGATGCATGCAAATATTATACCTTGGGTGGGTTTTGCTTGAAAATATCTAGTTTTTGAATGTCTGTTGTGAATCTTTTGCAACAAAGATAGTTTGTCTTTACATTTGTCCAAACCTTCTTATCCTTTGTGGTCAAAACCAGAATGTAAATATAATCCATTCCCAGGTCATTTAGCAGTGCACCTCCAATCCCTGTTATTGTTTACCAGCCCCTCTCCTCCTCTTCCATCTGCTTCTATAGCAGGAAACAGTGTGATGAGCGCCTGAGTCTGGCTCTGTGTGCGCACCAGTTGCCTTGTTGAGGTTTGGACAGGATGCCTGCATCCTAATCGGAACCTGATTCTGAGATGTATGAAGTTATTTTTAAACAGCCGTTTCTATGCCACATGTTTTGGTAATATCTACGAACTCTGGTGCTCCCCCTCCTCCTGCATCGAGCAACAAGAAACATAGCAGGGTGTCCGCGGGGTCTTAAAAAGTATTAAAAGTTGATAAATCAATTTAGCGAAAATGAAGGCTATTAAAAAGTATTAAACGGCATTTTCCAAGGTATTACATTTTGTAGCTTGTTTTCAATAAGTATATAAATAGTCCAAAGAGGTTGTATTCTACAGTCTGCCTGAATGTAATCATTGCGTAGGTGTGTAGTGTGATTCTGTGGAGTTTATTTATGGCATCCCGTTGGATTGGACGTCATCTGAACAGGACATCGCACGCTCACTGCTTGATAGCGCGCAAATGTCCGTTTACGCCGGTTGTTAAACAACATCGTTATGGGGAAATGCAAGTTTGCGTCCAAATGGTTGGAAGATAAGGAGGAAGGACAATCAATACTGTATATAGTAAATGTGAGGTAAAGTGTGTCGCCAATGTAACCGGTTAAAACTCGAAGTGGTGATGAGGTCTTAAAATGTATGGAAAGGGTCTTAAAAAAGGTCTTAAAAGGTATTGCATTTGACTTCAGGATTCCTGCATATACCCTGCATAGGGTGGTGAAGTATTTAGCGACGTCCAAGTTAGGTCATAGACGTCACCCGTACAGATGTTTTTACAGTAAGGAATAGAGACTTGATTGAAGTCTGGGATGATGATGGTTATGGGTCTGTTCCTTTTGTGTGGGGAGAGACATCAGAGCGGAGCATCGTGTGAACTTTGCTGCTTGGCTGCGTTTCTCAGCAGCACACATTGTTTTCTCATGTCTAACTATGAGTCAGATCTGATACCCTCCCAGATTGTTCTTCCCATTGCTCAATAGACCACCACACTTTCACCACTACCACGCAAGTTAGCTCTTCCAAACATACAAAGAACACATTTCAAGTCAAAATGAATCTGCCCACAGATTCTTTTACATTGAAGTGGAAAAGAAGATGTCTTGCATGTGTCTAAAAGCTGGACAAAAAGACCCAGAACAAGGAAGAATGATCCTCATTGTGCCACTGAGTTTGAGCTCCCTTAGCCTTTTGCAGCTCGCCCCCGCCAGATTTACCAGTCCAGCTTCAATGTAATTCATTCCCATGGTGTCAAAGAGAAATAGAAGACACGCAAGCATGGATTGAGCTGCAGATTTATGGAAAGAGAGAGAGAGAGAGAGACTTGAGTTATTTCAGCTCCTAAATCCTGATCCATAGCTAATCAGCATTTGGCGCAAACATTTCTTTTGTGATTGAAAAGGACATTTTCTCATGTTCACATGGGTGTGAAAATGTGTGAGAATATGTAATGGTTGGTAGCCATGGGCTTTTTTTCCCTCCGTCTTGGTTGGAAGAGGGAAGGTGGTGGCAGACTGAAGCAGCTGGGTCATCCTCCACATGTAAAGGGAGTGCTGCTAGTGTGTGGGAGAGTCCCTTGCCCCAGTTATTGTTCACTTCCAGAGAAATCTGTGGCTGCTGACACCCCAGCAATTAGTCAACACCCACTTCATGCTACTCCTGTACTTTACCGTGTATTTCCTTGTGATTCAGAGTGAATCGGATGATGAAGTGTAGGGAATGAAGTCTGATTGTCTCTCAATATACTTTCACTATCTTTATTGTTCCCACTGCTCTTTTTTTATGATCCATTAGTCATCAATGCTGGGATGAGGAAGTTCTTCCTGCAGGCCAACGACCAGCAGGACCTTGTGGACTGGGTTGAAGCTCTCAATAAAGCCACCAAAATCACTGTAAGACAAACACACACCTACACACACATAGACACACAGCTTACAGAGCAGAGAAGCACAAGACACCCCTCTCCTGAGTCAGCTCCACTGATCTGTTCATGTGTTATCACTCAGAGAAACTTGAATTCCTTCCTCTTCTGTAGAATTGAGCGGACTGTCAAGAAACTAGATATGAGTGAGTCAGAGCATGACTAACAGGATGCCGTATTGTTGTACTGAGTGCTGGGATAAAGGACTTTTTCCATTGTTCTCCATGAGGCATAACAGAAAGGAAATGGATATTAAATGTGGTAAAGGCACACTGTATTTCAACTATAGAGGAAACGATTTATTCTATTCTACATCTGAATTCCACAAGTTGGTAAAAATGCATGTGTTCAATAAATAAATGTCACCAAACCTCTGTGTTTTCCTAAGGTGCCAAAGTCGTCTGATGGGCAGCAGAATGCAGAGAACCTCAAGTCTTTGCCGGACGTCGTAGGGCCCAAGAAACAAGTCTCCTATCGGACAGAGATCATTGCAGGAGTCCCCATTGTCACCCAGACACAGGTAAACACAACACACATGTACACCACAAGCTGTATTTACATGAATGCAGAATGTACTCGATTCAAAGATGTTAAACCTACAAGGAAACACAACAGTTACCAAATAAAGGCAGAACACTTCATATCGATTTTAATATAATATTGCTCTAAATAAAAGTAAGAAAATATAACTTTAGGCAAACACATTTGACTTTTTAAAATGTCATTCAACTATTAAAGCTGATATGTATATAGATTACGCAAACATTTAGATTATTGATAAGTCATTAGTCAAGCTAAATTCCCAGTTCAAAATGTTAGAATGAGCTGATTTTTAATAACAAAACAAAAAATGTTTTAACTGAATATTGGTTTACGACTGTCCTGTATGACAAATAAAATATTTTAAATCATCACCTTGATCTCTTAGAAAATGTGATGGGCATTTTTCACACATTTCCGTAATATAAATCTAATACCTTTTACTTTAAATTAGTCTGACAATGATTGAAGCTTTGTGGTCGTACAAACTGCGCAAAATCTGTGCTGGTGTTTTTATTTTGTATTTTGTTGGAACTAACAATTACAATCTTTCCGCTGTCCTTCACCCTGAAGCATGACCGAGGTGACGTTGCCGACAAAGCGGAGCGTGAGGCCATGCATCGCTCTCACAGCCAGCTGCCGTACTTCCTGGGCAGGCCGACTCAGGAACACACCGTCATAAAGTCCGGCTACTGCGTCAAGCAGGGAGCGGTGGTGAGTTCACTTTGTTTCACACGGCCTGCTGGTATCGCTCAGAGAAATGTTTATGGTCACTCTTAATTAAACATCTTTTGGCTGCAGCACTGGCGGCATAAAGTGCAACAAGGATATTTAGGTCTTATGACTTGCGGAGTGTCGGATGATGAGATTTCGGCTTGATTATTGTAAAGAACAGTTTAAAGAAATGAAGCCACTGTGATAAATCATCTTCCTCTTTATGTATGTAGACTAGGCCTGTCACGATAATTAATTTTGTTGGACGATACTTTTTCCTGGAAATTATTGCGATAAACGATAATATTGTCGGCACCGTTGTAAGACCATTTTAGACCACTGACATAATGATAATATACAATAATAATTAGTACATCCTTTCAAACAGAACTTTTTATTGAACATCCAACATTGCAAATGAAATGTGAAATAATATTCAAATATATAAATTATATATAATAAATAAAACAAATACATTTAATTATAACAAATTAATAAAAATCACACACAACCAAAACAATCAATTAAATAGACTCAGGCTGGAAAACAGAGCTCTCTCTCATATATAAATAAATAAATATGAGCACACATTGTCTCACAAGCAAAAAAAAAACCCTCCTTAAAACAACAGTCAAGTGTGCAGTCCACTGTCCATACAAAGACCCAGATGCCTCAACAGGCCATATCCATATCTGTATTTCAAAGAGTTCGAGCAAGGAACACCAACATGTTTGCATTGTCGGGCAAATGCATCTTTGATTGTAAACTGTCGGGAAGGTGGGGGCTCTCCATCTCCAGCTGCCGTGTTTGCTCCCAGCTGGGAAAACGGAATGGGGTGGTTGTGTTTCAGGTGCAGTTTAAGGTTGGTCGTATTGCTAGCTTTTGTTGCTACCTTTTTAAAACAAATACGACACACCGCCCGGCTCATTCAAGTCCGTAGGTTCGCCTCGTTGATTTGGCTTAAATCCAAAATATTCCCACACCGGAGATGTGGAATTAGGTTTTGCAACCACTTCCATTTAACTTCAAATTCCCCTCGAGTAAGTCACACGTTGTCTCCTGCTTGTCTCTATATTATTCATTTGGCTGCTGCACGCGGAGTGTCCTGACCTGGCTGTGTCATGGGCTGTGTGTGAGCCCCGCCCCTCACAGCGCGCCTTGCTAAAATGCTGGTCACATCCTTATGTAAACAAACACGCATGTAAACGGCAATTTATCGAGCTCAGAAAAGTTATCGAGTCCATTTTTATTTATAGTACGATAAGTCAATTTATTGATTATCGCGACAGGCCTAAAGTAGACATTGTAAAATGTGTCTGGGACTAGATTATAACTAGAATCAAATTAGTGCTTATATTCTTGTAGCCAATTGGCAAATGTGGCATATTGTTTGCTTTGAAAATATGCAAAATGTCTGAATATCTTTTCCTTTTTTTTCTCCAGATGAGGAACTGGAAAAGGCGGTATTTCCTCCTGGAGGAAAACTCAATGAGTTACTTCAAGTCAGATTTGGTAATTAACTTTAAGTGTTGTTTAGCCTTAGGGAATGTTTGTATTGATGATGAATGAGGTTATGGATGCACCCCCACAGTCTGAGGCAGAGTAACAGCAAACACACAGACCTGCGTTCCAACATGTTTTATCTGCAGCCTGTGGAATTCAATGCTTTCACTTCACATGTCCGATCATGCCTTGTTCCCCCCCCCGGCCTTTCTTACACACACACACGTTCTGTCCTCAGGATGATACCGCACATCCCTACCCTGTCCTTGTCTGGGTCTGCCCTTATTTGACAGCTCTATCCATTTACTTGGCTATCAACAGGCCCCTAGGACATAGACTCTCTGTCTGCTGTATGAAAGAAAACAAAGTTACAACCATTAGTATACAGTATGTTACTTTTAAAACAGTTCAAGGTCTTCTGTCCAAATGAAACAAAAACAATCTCAGCAAGAATTTCTGATATACTTGCAAATGGTGATATGTAACATTTGGTTTCTTTTTCTCATGAACTCTTGTTGTCCTTCCTTTCAGGAGAAAGAACCTCTGAGAATGATCCCACTGAAGGAAGTTCACAAAGTCCAGGAGTGCAAACAGAGGTATGTAACGTGTCCCAGCGTTCTCCCATCGTACATCAGAAAAGCCTTTTGTCCAGGAGGATGGTGTTTACCTCTCCTGACTCAGATAGAGATATAGATGGGATAAATATGATCTGACTTGTTTCCCACTTTTGTTGCAGCGATATTATGATGAGAGATAATCTGTTTGAAGTCGTCACGACATCAAGGACGTTTTACATACAGGTAGGATGCTTTCTTTCAGCTCAAAGGAATGTCCGGTTGATTCTCATTCAAACCCTGGGATTGCTCTTCTCTCTCTGTCACTCACTTTTCTGTTCTGTTATGTCTCCACCAGGCGGACAGTCCAGAGGACATGCACAGCTGGATCAAGGCCGTCTCAGGGGCCATCGTGGCCCAGCGGGGGCCCGGGAGGTCGGCTGCTACAGTATGTATTTTGCAGTACACTATAAAACAGGGTCACCATCGTATGGGCTCAGACTTCAGACTTGATCATCATCTAGTGGTCCAAAGAGTCGAGTCAGGACTGTTCCCATGACTTATTTGTGTTGTTACACTCATGTCATTTATTGATTACTGTTTGCAGTTTCTTGCTCTCACAAGATCTCACACAGCTGCAGAGAATCTCCTTTTTGACCTCATCTCAAACTCATGCGAAGAAGCAGACACTTTGTTTCAGATGAGTTCCCCCCGTGACTTTATTGATGTATCTCCAATATATTTAGCCCAGCAGTTGCGGCTGTGAAAAGATGAATCGAGCTTAATTCTGCTCACAGCCCTGGTACATTTGCTACCAGGCTCTAAGAAAATGATTATATGTATTAATATATCTTTTGAATGAGCTATTTTCAAGGTATTTACCTTGAACTTGAAACAGCCTTTCCGGCATTTGCCTCACCCCTACGCAATACCCAACAGCCAAATACAGATTTAGCTTTTTGGCCGTATTGTTCTTTTCTCACTCACTAATTGAAAAATACCAGGAAATAACAGGGGAGAGAGACGTTGCGTGTTTTGGGCCTGAGCCACCATGCCCCCGTATACAGATTTTTTGAAGTAAGTCATGAGTAGGCCATAAATGTTGAATGACTACTGTACTTACTGTACCATAGAAATGAATCTGTGTGGGAACTCTCCCTGAGTTTTAGAGCCACATAATGAGCTCCATCAGCCTGAGAGCGGCAGCCCGAGCTGAGCAGGAGGACGTTAAGCAGATCCACATCCTGACTGCAGAGGAGAGCGTGTCCTCTGACGTCCTCTGGCTGTCAGTTTCTCTACAGTCCCCTCTTTCTTCCCTCCTGTGTCTCTCTCTCTCTCTTCTGCTTGTTTTACTCTCACCCCCATGTTCCTCTACTCTCTCTCTCTCTCTCTCTCTCTCTCTCTCTCTCTCTCCCTCTTCTGTACTTTTCTCCTCCTCACGTTCTCTCCACCTGCTCCTCTCCCTGTGGGCAGACAGCCCATCTGCTCTAATACTGCTTTGCACTGTGTTGTTGCAGATGCGGCAGGCCAGACGGCTGTCGAACCCCTGTATACAGAGGTATACGTCTCGAATCGGGGAGTGCAGCAGCACGTATGTCAGCTCGTCTAAATCCCCCCCCCCCCCCCCCCCCAAGCTATAAGTTGACCTTTTTTTAATACTGTTTTCCACTCACTGGCTGGCCCCTCTGTGGTTGTCGATATTATGAGAGCAGATCAGATCTGACGGCACATCTGATGCTCCTTTTTTTCCAACCACATCCTAAGTATGGCTCTGATAACCCAACAAGCGCTCCTCCCTTCACGCCCTTGTCCTCGCTGCTTCTCTCATCCACCCCTCCTCCTCCTCCTCCTCCTCCTTTGCTTTCCTTTTACTTTTTGCCGCACCGTCACTTTAAGCTGAGCTCAAAGTTTGAGCCTATTTCCCTCCGTGCACTCAGACAGTTCCTATTTGAAAGGAAAAATCTTGTTTCGGGAGTTTTTTTGACTTGAGGTGGGCTTGATTTATCTTCCCTCACATGTGATGACATTCTCCACAAGCAGGGCAACTGAAATCAAGCAGACCTCAAGTTAAGGAAATGCAATGAAGTCATATTTGTACTCTTTTAACAGCTGAGATATGACGAACTAACCTCGGAGAGACCTGCAGTCACTGCCACCTCCCCTTCCTCCTTTGTAGCTTGACCTGCACAGCTTCCACCTGTCTTCACTGTTATTGATGATGCTTCAGTGTAAAGAAAATAAGAATATACATGAATTCATATACAACTCATACTGCATGACCTACCTGACCAGCTTAGCTATGATGTGTGAAGCCTGTTTCTGTGTCTTTGTGACTGGGTCCATGTGTCTTTCACACCTTCTGTTTCTCTTCCCCTCATGCTCTGTTATCTCTGCAGTCTGCTGCAGCTGTGTACCTGTCTTAGATGTGTGACATCCTGCTTGTCTCTCCTCCTCCCTCCTGTGCGCTGCCTGTATGTTTCTTTCTCTTTCTGATATACACCATAGTAGAATACTTGTTTCCATGTTGACTTCTTTTACCTTCTGTGTGCTCAGTGTTTTTTTTAACTGTTTGAAATGAGGACTCAACAATGCCCAAGTCACAAACTAATGTTTTTTTTTATAGAAGTCTGTTGATTTACATGTGAATATGTTGATGTGTGAAAGTGAAAGGCTTATTATCTGATCTGACAAGTTAATAGCCCCTAAAACTTAGTATAAGCTTAATTTCTGACCTTTGAAATCAGCATAAATCATTTCTTAAATATCTGTGAGTCTCCATAGTCCCTAAGATTGTTAGATATCCTTGTGCTAGGAAATGTATTCTTACATTTTGTGATGCTTAAGTGGTACTTTGTGGATTTACTGACCATTTTCACTAACCTTTAAAGTCACAATGCTGCTGTTGTAGAAACTACAAATGTGGATCTTATTAGTTATATTTGGGTCTTGATGCTTTATAGTTGGGATGTTTTTTTTCTAACCAACATAACACCAACTTCTCAGTGCCATCCCGCTCTGCTTTTGGGACTACTTTCTTTTTCCTATGCTTCTGTTTTCTTTTACAGAGATTGAAATCTGACAATGAAAAGCTGTGAAATAATGAGCAACAACCAACACCTGCTTTCTAAGGCACTCTGCTCCTCCACTTCAACCTGTTGAGACTACCAAAACTAAAACCTGCTGACACTACTACCACTATTCCTGCTACCTCTACTGCTACTACTACTACTACTACTACTACTACCACCATCTCTACTCTCTAGCAATGCTACATTCTTCAGCATCTTCAACCTTCAGTACCAACTCTGCTTAATCTGCGTCAGGCTCCACATGCCGGTGCTAATTCCAAGTCTGTAACTTTCGGTTTCTCCATTAAACTCCACAGGATTCCACGTTGCTTACTAACACCCACTGTCTTTGTTCCTGCTCTCTCTGTGTCCTCTTGCTGTTTCTGCTGCAGGAGCACGGCCGTTCCACTTTCTACCGCAGCCCCGCGGGCCCCCCTGCCCCTCGCTCGCCCATATCTGCCATGCCACCATGCTACCCAGAGTGGGGGGCTGCTGTCCCGTGCGGTCCACGCTCGCAGCCTGGCGTGGGACAGCGAGCACTTCATGAGTCTGCTGCCACGGCCCAGTCACAGCCGCACGCCAGCGCGCCTGTCCCTGCAGGAGACACCGCGCCTGGCAAAGTGACCCCCCACCCACCTGAGACCACCATCAATCACCCCGAGGAGTCACCGTGGCGACGGCGGAGCAGCTTCGAGCCCCATATGCCTGAACCGCCCCTGGACCTGGATGACGCCGACCTGCCGGTGAGCGAGGTCTGAGACGCTGAACTGGACATTTTGAAACTTGCTTTTCAGGTTGGATGCTGACAGCGATTTAAAAAAAAAAAAAGGAAACCGTGCGAGACAGGTAATAAAAAATGGGAAGACGTTGGCGGACAATTTATAATGTCACAAACTTCCTCCGTCAGTGTGCTAAAGAAAGAAGCTGGGTCACCACTGAACTGCCAAAGACGACCCAGTTTCACCCCCCACCCTTCCTGCTGTCACAATTACAATGGTGTATTTACAAGAGGATGTTGTCAAACAAAACCACACATTTGGGTTATTTTGTGCTGATTAGAATTCAATGACGGAGCTTCATTTGAACCTGTACAGGTGAAGTGATGTGACGGAGGATTTTTGTAAACCACTTTGTGCCAAGAAAATAAGGGAAATGTCATGGTTGCAAACTATTTCCTGTATCCTAGAGAGAGAAAGTGTTCAAACTGAGGAATGGATATTCATCACCTCCTATATACTGATTAAGAGTGTGTAGTCCATTCATACACTCACATTGTAACCCTGGATTTCACTTCTAATGTTGGCCGGCAATAGAGATATGGTTTAAACCGGAGTCTGAGATTGAATGATTTTGGACTCTTCTAGGACAAGATGCAAACATTGTAGGTATTCCACATAAGCCATTGTGTAGTATAATGTACTACAGCCACATTCAGTCAGAAAGAATAATTCCGAAGAACAAGTAGCTCACATGTAAATCTAGTTTCTACAGTTGATCAGTTATTGTTATTTTGAAAGCTCAAACAGTACATGCATCACTTCAGTTCAGAAACAGCATATTTTGCAAGCTAGATTCACGCACACCAGACTTTGTGAAGCTCGAGGACACGGGAGGCAAACAAGACATACAAGGAGTACGCTTGTAAGCGTTTTGTAATTCTCATAGTAATAAAAACGTCAACAATAGGGCTCTGTCAGATATAGGTAAGGTTCCTTACAGATAATAACTCACGTAATAAAACCTGCAGTCCATCGTTTGAAGATGAGTATAAACACCATGCAAACTATTTGGTTCATAGTTAAACAGACAACAACCTTTAAGCTCAGACTCTTCCGTTGCATGTTAACCTTTTAATGATTCCTCAGATTGTCTTTCTGTGTTTTAGTTTTTATTAACGGCGGCTCTGTGTGTTGTGTGTTTGCAGAATAGAGCTGTGTGAAGCAGATTTATTTTTTATATGCTCTGTAGATGTTTCCTAATCTAATTCTGTGTACTTTTTTTGCCAACCCAGCAACAGGCAGCTGCCTTGTGGTTTAATTTAAGGATGTTTCACTGTAGTCCTGTTAAATAATACACACTAACCTTTTTTTTGTTAAGTGCCTGCTTAATTTCAGACCAACCTAGTCAAGCTGTTCCACCCCATTTCAGTCTGGTGTAATCGGTTTGAATTGTCTCTATTTATTATGTGGATGACTTGAAAGAAATAAACACTGAAAATGTGCTCAGGTTTCCTGGAGAAACATTCTGTGTTTTGCTTTTATATATTCACACAGCACAATTAGTCTCTGAGGGTAAAGTCAGAGCTGTAGGAAATAATATTTGGGGTAACTCTTCAAGGCTTCTTCTGCCCTCTTGTGGTGAGAGAATATCTTCACTCTGGTTCTCTTCCATTTACTGCTGCACAAGTCATCAGTTATACATGATTTACTGACACAATGACTGAGTTATCAGTGATATAAGATATCCTCTTGGAAAACACCTGCAACAAGCACAGAAGCACATATGTATTTATTTATAGAAATTCATTTAGGAGAAAGTTATTTTTTGTAAGCATATACTATATTTGTACTAATCTACCAATAAAATAATCGGATAAATTATACATTAATTTAACCGTTTAAACTGATAAGTGCCCAATCAGTTCACTTAAGTACTATGTGCTTAAATGTTTTATGATCAAATGATCACAAGATGATTCCCCTGAAAGCTGAATAAATATAATATTGAGTTGTGAGTATCAATATGAAAACATATCTTTCTTTGCATGGACATAGTGTGAATGAACTAAATATTTACTTATTTTAAAGTATGTATAATTGGCCAAATGTCCTTATCAAAAGTATTCCTAAAGCAAAAATAGCCCCTGCAAATGTTATTATGGTATTGATTATTCAACTTTTATTACAGGGTTGTATGTTTTTTGTTTGAAAAAAATCTTAATTTGCACTAAAGCTAAGTACAATATTTCTCTTTGAATCATAGAGGAGTCGAACTATAAAGTCATACGAAATGAAGTAACTCACATGTCTACACTACTTGAGTTAATATACTCAATCACTGCACAAAGTATGCATTTCCTGGACACTGATGAATTAGACATGCGTGTCTGCCTATCATTCATCAGCTCCTAATGAGGTGCTATGCAGCCTCTGGCTTTATAGCTGCAATATGTGTAGGAAGATTTACAGAGTGTGGTCATACAGCAACACTGCATATGTATCGCCTCTTTTAATCTGTCAGATAACCAGCGGCGACATATTCTGGGCTCCAGTCTGAGTGTGCAGCGTGATGGGGATACTGCATTTGAAGGCACCAGAGGGTTGATAAGAGTGATGTCAAGTGTTTTCACAGAAAGATTTGAAAACAACATGGCTGGTGTGTTTCGTCAGGAAGCAAGTTGTCTTTACTCATTCTCCTCATAGATCTCAGCTCCTTATTGGAGGATGCAACACTTTGGTGTGGCTTCGACGTGGAAGCGAAGCCCCATTTGGACTTTTAGGGGCCCGACTCACATCCAGAGACATCACTGCAGACTGGAGAGATCACACAGACCTCAGTGGAGTCCATCATTGGTTAAACTCTAGCCTTGGTTGGAGAATGGGTGGTCCTTATGGATGAGGTTGTTTTCATCTGACGATTTTCCCACCACTTCTCGCCTACATCCTTGTGCTCTACAAGAATTGCAACATAATGGTTCTGGAGATGCTGCAAGGTCTATACTTATTCTTTTTTTAGATGGGTCAACAGTGTGTGTCGTCATGCTCTAAAATGACATGGTTCTCTGAAAACAATTAGCCAACCTGGAATTCTGGGAAACAAGTTTAAATTGTACACTTTCTCTGTTTCCTGTACAAGGAAGTCCAGTCTTTAAGAGCATATGACTGCCCTTTATCCCGTTATGCCCCGCTTTAATTGCCTTTAGGATAGAGAGGCTTGTGTTACCCTGAGCTCTGGTGCACCGCAGGGAGCCTCAATTCTCTCCATTTTGAGGCAATGCATCTGAGAGGTGCTCCCCTGCCCAGTCATTCCAACCTTTAGACATGTATTAAACCCCTTGCCTGTACTCAATCACAGTATATTGAGGCGGTTTATGACACTGATTCATTGCCTCTTTTTAACTGGATTCCTTTACAGCTCACAGCAGACGTCTAAACCTAACAGAGATTTGTTGTTCACCAGGACTAAAGGTTGCTCCCTTAATATGTGAAACGTGTGTTATTTTAACAAATAATAAATGTCAAGCTTATTTTATTGTATTTTCTGAGAAATTTAGTTTTCCAATGTAGGGCAGATTCGTATAGAAATACATATTAAGATTACTTGTTGAGTTATTTACACTTGAACGTGGGGAGCTGTAATTATAGTTATTTGGATATCCCCATAGATGTTGTTTATATTCCTGCTAGCTGGGTGCTTATAACCCACAGAGCTGGGATAGGATCATAAATAAATAAATGTGCTCGTGCAATTTTCCAATTAGAACAAATTTGACTGTTTATAAGGGTTGTTCACAAAGTGCTACATTAACTCCACAAATCCCACAATCCACCCAACTTGTTTTCCACTACTGATTTTCCCAATTAGCCATAGGGCTTGAGGGGATGCCAGGAGTGACTAATTCATAAAGGGAGTAGTAAAGGTACAAAAACAAGCAGGAACTAGGCCTGCAGGATGTGTGGAGGTCTGTGCAGCTTATAAAACATCTGGGCTCTGTGGCTCATTCCCCTACTGGGTTGTACATTTTCTTTTTTGTAAATAAAAAAATCCGAGTTGATGCCAATATCTGCCATGAAAGACCTTAGAGCTTTTCTCTGATTTTCTGCAAGAGGTTCTGTTGGATAACATTGACCTTGTCAATACACCTTGGAGGGAAACAGGAGCAAGGATCATTTACATAATACTTGGCAAGTCTTTTTGCCATGCTGCTACTTTAAAATATTACATTTGAGTGATTCAGCTCTTGTATCCCATGCAGGCTTTTTTCTGCTATTTATTTTTATTTGTATTTTACCCTCACACTTCTGAGGACCAATCAATAACCCAGTTCTTCTGATTCCTACGTTACGTGAACGCACCAATCACCAGGCTTGTTGTGATTATCTAGAAAGTGAGTTGCGTCTGATGTGGAGCCAGTAAAAACGTAGAGTCGCGTAATTGGTTGTGCAGTGAAGTTCAGTTAAATGCCTCTCCAGCTCAAGTGACTCCCCCCTCATTACTACTGAGCTCTCTCATCCCATTACACTGCAAGCAGAGAGCGAGCTTTAGGAACTTTTTTAAACTTTATATTTAAATTTGAAGACTTTAGTTTTATACCATGTTTTGGTCACTTCTGTGCGTAATGGTAGTCTTTTCTTCCGTGCCGGCAGATGCGCAGATCTCCACCCGGTATGTTGTCGGATGTCCTGCTCGGTGTGACAAGTCGATGTGTCCCCGGATACCGGCGTACTGCCCGGCGGGACAGAGCCTCGACGCCTGCCACTGCTGCACGGTGTGCGCGTCCGGCGAGGGCGAAGGCTGCGGCGGCTTGGGGAAGCTCGGGGACCCGGTGTGCGGAGAGGGGCTGGACTGCTCGATCCCTGGCGGGGTGGGATACAGTATCACGGTGAGGAGGAGAAGCAAAAGTGGGACTTGCGTGTGCAAAACCACCGACCCGGTTTGTGGAAGCGATGGGGTGTCCTACCGGAATATCTGCGAGCTGAAGAGGGTCAGCCGCCGCGCGCAGAAGCTGCAGCAGCCACCTGTCCTCTTCATTCAGCGGGGAGCCTGCGGGAAAGGTAACGCTGCTAGGGTCGTATTAATCACCATCAAAGACCCCAACACTAACTGAGAAGTTGATTTGGTAGAAAGTTGTGAGGGTAAAACAGTATAGGCCACTCTGTATTTACAATAGTTATGCTAAGTAAAACATATTTTTTAAATCTCACTTTCAGATCAAGTTTGTTCAGTCACAGCATGTGCAGATAGGCTAAAGTAAATATGTAAATGTTCTTTATGGTGTGATGTTGAGCCTGAAGCTGCATTCAGTGGCACACAATCCCCATGTGTCCATGATAACAACAGCCACCATTCAACTGTGTTTCCCTCTTGTTGCTGAATAACAATTAGTCTCCCATCAGAGAACTGTTTAAACCTTTGCCCAGTTGAATGAAGTCATTATCTCTCCCTGATGTAAAGCTTTATGTGCAGTCACATGGATATGATCCGTATGATTGTTTTATACAATACAGTTCATGCCAGTGCAGTCTGCATTAGCTGAACAGAAAGGAATTTGATAAGAAGGATATGTAGGCCGTTATTAAGCAGTACTGAAGCAATACATTGGTAATAACTGGTATTTGTGGGTGTTTCAGTATGGAGCAGCTGAGTGTCATGTGAAAAGTATTTCACCCTAACCAGTGGAGCTAACAAATAAACTGACATCATTCTTCACTTGTTCTGCTGCTTTATGAAACAGCCCAACTGAGAACTCAAATGTCAATGTATTCAGTGAGTCATTTATCATTATTTACGGTAAACAGAATGTATATTATCGACACATCAGGACTGAAAAACATTAGCACAAACACACAGGTGTTAAAGACATTGAACTGAAGTGTGCACCACATCTGCAGCTGAAAAATTCTTCAACACCTGTTGCCTCAAAGACCTTACCTCAAAGCTTGGAAACGTACTTATTCCCCCCTCCAGCAACCCTCCAAACTCTTTCCTCTCTCTTCTTTTTCTCTTTCAATGGGTCTTTCCCTCTCTATTTCTCTCCGTTTCTGTTGTCACTCGTAAATCACACTTCAGTCACATGAAGGAACGTCTGGCGCTGATTCAAAGCCATAATTCCTCCTCCGTTGAAGACAGTTTAAAACAGGCAGGAGACACAGAGGAAAACACAAAATTAGCAACCTATATTTTTGGGAAAGGTTTACATGTACATCAAAAACTGTGTGGGCGCGGTAGTAGCACAGACTGTATCGCCACATTTGTTTTTGAGTCATGTACACAACTCAAATTGTTAAGTTTCGCCCAAAGAACTAACCATGTCTGAAACAGAGCAAGTCTGCGGTAAGCTCTACTCATTTTCCAAGGTTCCCGAAGTGAACATTTCCATACCTGCAATAAGCATTTCACATTTAATTTGATACATCAGACATCCAAGCATGTCTCCTGATTTAAACTTCAGCATTATATTTGATGTGCAGGGGTTGACACTGAAAATAAACTCAACTCCCCCTTTGAGAGACTTTAACTACCCTGCAATTTGGCCCCATTTTAAGAAAACATATGCAAGTAGGCCTACGTTATGCATGATGTCCTATTTTGTATGGATGGTAATGCAAGACGTATGCAAGTTGTCAAAAAAAACCATTGGGTCAAACATGTCTGTGTGTCTGGGTTCAAATAAAATGACCCACATTTAATTTATTTGGCATTTTCAAGACTTTACTAATGGTGAAAATGGAGACTGACAGGAAAATGCTGCCTAGTAGAACTGGATGACATGCAACTTACATGGTGTTTATCGAAGACCACCAGAATACCCCCAAAAAGCTATTTTTGTTGAAAAGTTCACTGGATGAATATGGATGTACTTTCTTGATTATCTGTATCGACGTTAATCCGATCTGCTGAGTGACTGTTCTGTCAGGTTGCACTCTGTGACTCCGGCTTGTGACATTTGCTGAATGTGCACAATCTTCCCAGACTTTTTCTCAGCCAACAATAATATGAAAATATCATATGTTTTTCTATCAGTCTGCTCCTGCATGTTTCCGTCTGTTTTCCTCATTTATCTTCCTTACTGCTCATGATGCCTGTGATTCTCTTGCTGATCATTCTCTTAATTCTCTCTCTGCTCAACCATCTTTTCTGCATGCCTCTTTTATAGATCTCCTTTATTCATATTTATCTCATCTTTTTCTGACCACAATATGTTTGTATGTTCTCTTTCCTGTAATAAATGTCAACAAAGGTTACTATAATCCCAAGCTTTGGAGTATTTATATCAACATATAAACCGTTTTATAGTTATCAAATTGATGTTTGAACCTAGTGAGGCCATTTTAGTTTGACAGCTGTGTATCTCTTTGATCCTTATACAGAATGTTCCACAACAAAATGGGAAATAGTTTAAATTGGGTTCTTACTGTTACGCTGCAAAAAATATCCTTATTTTATAAACAGCAGCAAAGCACAACTATATATCTATAACTGCAGAAAAACAGGGTCTCAATGAGTCATGATCTTACACTTTAGTGGCATAACATAGGCATCTGTCAAAAATGAGTTTTGAGCCAAACAAACTATGACTAACTGGAAATTATTTTTTTAAATGGTCTACACAGAGTGACTCTCTGTCACAAAAATACTTTTTTATTTTCAACAAAATGAAAATGTGCTTCCATTTTATACATTTAGCATAAGCATGGTGGACCTCAGTTTGCTAAACAGTATAGAACCTGTGTGTGTGAGTACATGAGAAGGAGGGGCTGACCTTACTGTACTCATTTAGTATTTAGAGTCTAGGGAATAAAGAATAAACTGCTTCCGCCTGCGGGTGCCAATAAAACAGTGGGAATTATGTAAGGGAAAATTGAAAAATAAAAGAGGCCCAAAGCCATGCTATGAAGGTCAATGTATAGAGAGCGGATTAGGATAGGAGGTGTGTGTGTGTGTGTGTGTGTGTGTGTGTGTCTGTGTCTGTGTGTGTGTGTGTGTGTGTGTGTGTGTGTGTGTGTGTGTGTGTGTGTGTGTGTGTGTGTGTGTGTGTGTGTGTGTGTGTGTGTGTGTGTGTGTGTGTTTTTCTTTAAACAACTTGTGTTTAAATGGTTTCCCATCACTGAACGCTTGATTTAACTTTAGGACATGTGCATATTGTAAACTGACGCTTAACTTTATTAGCACATTTTATTAAACACTAATAAAGCAAGGATCAAACCTCAATATGTCTTCCATATGGGAGCCACTTTTACTTTGCACGACTGAAACTGACTGAAGTTACTGCCGAGGAGGAATTTGATCATCTCCAACGTAAGACTTTAGTCTAGACATATGACTATAATCATTTTTCCTCTTTCCCGTTCCTCACCCCTGTGCCATGGTCTCCTTAATAATGAACTCACCATCACGCACCATCAGTCAATACCTACTGCTGTGCCTCATATAGTACTGCGAGTCGTCACTAATCACAGGGTCGGATGTACAATCTCCATCTCCTAAATTGAGTGTCATCTCCAAAATATTTAAATTGTGGTAGCTGAACACCTCTTAAATGTCTGATGTTCACCAGAGTGCCAGACTTGTTGGCAAATGATCACGAGCACTGAAAAAGTGTATCTTGCATGACACGTCTGATCAAATACAATTGCAAAACCTCTACAAATAGGTTTTGGGCTCCTTCCTCTATAGATAAAGTGTTATTCCTTGAACTTAAGGGGTTATTTCTGGTGTCCTTTTTATTTTGTTCCTGTTTTACCAAATTAAAATAGACTATTTCCAAATGACTCATTCAATTATTCATGCCTTCTGTCTGTAACTTGCTCACATGCCTAAATGAATAATCCAACTGCAGCTGATGAAACACAGTTGTTAAAATACAGGATTGCTGACAACTTAATGTTGTTCATAACTTTTTAATGCTTAAAAAATACTTGAACCCTCAAAACCGTTTTATATTGTCAGGTCGGCCATTGATGTTGCAAGTGTTTTCTTTTTATTTATTCAGTTTTGTCCGGTTTTAATAGATTTGTGAAGTGCTTTTTGACCCGTAACAAAAAAAGCTATATTAAGTTTAAAGGTATTTTTGAACTAACAACATAATTTTTCCACATCAGCTTGTTGTAAGTATTTTGGCTTTTAATCAAAGCACTGACGACGCATTTCTGACCTAACCTCCTACATTGTCTGCGGTAACTCCTTATTTCTTGCCCTGCACTATCCATATCCAAATATAGATATCGTTTTCCCACACAGTGGAAAGCCTGCAACTACAGACGTTCTGGAGTCAGCTTCTGGCATCCATTCACTTGATGGTGAAATATTACCAAAGCAATATAGGGTTTAGACACTAATCAGTAAGATTTAAATGCCGACTTTCTATCCACACATCAGGGCTTCAAAGTTAAGGATGAATTAGTATGAAGACAGCGAATTAGACTTAATTATACAAAAGTAAGGCTTTATAAAGCTCAGTTCCGCAGTGAAATAAAGTACAGTGTTTAAATCTGGCAACAATGCCTTGGCAACGCTCTTTAATGTAACTGAAGTGTGCACAACGTGTGATTCATGATTTCCCATCAGCTCATCACCACTGGGCCTATAACTCTGCTATCATCACATTATAGCTGTGGTAGTGTGCCTCTAGAAATACAGTTCCCCATGCGTGAGGAGGCAGCCTAACAGGAACACAGTAAAGTGAAAGAAACTGAGAGCCTGTATGGAGGCTCCAGAACCAACACAGTTTCTGGCCAGAATAACCCTCTCAGAGCTGACCATGAACACCCCCGGGTGTTAGTAGGAGGTACATTACTCCAATCTTTCCATTAATTCTCTCTCGTACCGTGGACCTGTGTTTAATTTATGAGATTTAATGTTTAATTTATATCTTTCAAAGGAAATATATGTGGAGGGTTGGAGAAAAGTTGTTAAATAATTTTTTGCTAGCGGCATGGCAGGGGTACTATGTAACGAAACGGTTTTGTTGCATTTGACCCATCCTAGTGTTAGGAGCAGTGGGCTGCCATTATGTACGGCGCCCGGGGAGCAGTGTAGGGAATGGTGCCTTGCTCAGGGACACCTCGGTAGCACTTGGTATTTCCGGGACTTGAGCTGGTGACCTTCCAGTTGCCAAGCCAAGTCCCTATGGACTTTGGTTATCCTTAACGTTTTCTCTAGCCCCTCCAGCCCCTCCAGCAGGTCCAGATGTTCGGGTATCTAATGAAATATCTCAACATTTTTTAGATGGATTATCAGAGCATTTATAAAGAAGTTCATGGTTCCCAGAGGATGTTTCCCACTGATTTTAGCGCACCCCCTGACTTTTGTTCTAGTGCCACCATGAAGTCAGTTTAGGTTGAGTAAAATACCTCAACCACCACACACACAAGAGTGCCATGATTTTGTTTGAATACAGACTTTCATGTCCCTCTCTGGGTAAATAGTAAATGACCTGCAAAATATCTGAGATTTCCTTCTGTCTCAGCTGTACTCTGTGCTTCATGCTAATACGCAAATATTAGCATGCTGACACCATACTTATGGTTAATATGGTGACTGTTGGTGAATAATTTCCCCTGCATGTCATCTTTCGCCCTCTGACGCAAATGCCCAGCCTTGAGCAGCCGTTATCTCCCTTAAAGGGGACCTATCATGCAAAATGCACTTTTGTACGTCTTTTATACATGAATATGTGTCCCCGGTGTTCCAGGGAACTCACCAAGTGTCAGAAAACACAACCCTCTCTATTTTCCTCCATACCCAAATCTCTAAAAAAGGGGCTGCAACGGATCTGATACAGACTGATCCAGATTTGAACACTTCTATGTCGTCACAGAAGTGGCGCTACGGCTATTGGGCCAACTCTCCACCTATCAGGGGAATGTGGGGTTGGGCCACGGCCGGCCATTGCCGCTCGAAAGCGCTGGAGACGATGTAGTACATATGCCAGGCCTGTAAGTGGCGCTGTAGTTTGCCACAAAAGCAGCGAAGAAGACTTCCCGCCCATAGTTACCATGGTTACCCTTCTGTTTATTCTCCGCTGTGGCTTTTTTTCTCCCTCCCCGAGGCAAGCGTTTGCTCCCGCTGCTTTAATTCAATGCAATCCCTCCCCGTCGAGGCAAGCACTGTAATTCTCTCCGGTTAGTCCACCAGCAGATGACAAACACCCACCTCTCCGCCTCTTCCAAGGAACGAGGGGACCGTGCGGCAGAGTTTCAGTTTCAGTTTCTTTCGCCGGTCAAGATGTCCGTTAAAGTTTAAATCTTCCGGACAAAATTAGAAAAGTGCCGGTCAAAGGTCTTCTTTGTTATTTCCCGTAGACAGCAAACAGCACATAGAGCGAAATGAGGCATGGCTAAAATGCATGATCTGTTTGGTATTTTGAAAACAGAAACGTATAAATATACCTTATATAGGTATGGCCCTACAATATATCATTTAAATATAGCATGATAGGTCCACTTTAAGGAGGGGCTGCCCAAGCATTTTGTTGTTGTTACCAGTTTATGACCGGGCAACTTCGGTCAGAGATAGTTATTGCTGTGGGACACCTGGAACACATCCTTCTCGGGGTGTAGATGACCCGAGCCATAAGCGACAACAAATGTGATTCAGTGTCCTTAGCTGTTTAGTCTATCTATTGAAGAATGACTCTGAACTAGTTAAAACCTGGAACTACAGGAGGGTTCTTCAGAATTGATTGTGGCATCTCAACCGTGTGGTCAACTCGTGGCCCGTGACATGTCTTGTGAATTCTCCGGCCGAAGCTCCAAATAAACCGTCAGTGTTTGCCATCAAAGCTCCAGCTCTCCATCGTGTCTCTCTTTGAGTCCTGACTCCAATTGCATCAGAAGTTTCCCCCACAGTGAATGTTAGCTAATTTTAACAGCATTATCAGCTAAGCATTGTCATTTGGAGCATCTTTGCATGCATTTGCTCAAAGCAGTACAGTCTAACGTATAGCATGGCAGTATACACCAGCATTTTCCCCTTGAGGTTTGACAATTTTTTTAATACTGTATAATTTATGGATATTCAGTACGGCAAGACACCGCTCATTCCATGCCTCTGTTAGCTTACAGGCACCTAAAGTGGAAAACCTCTTTCTTCTTTCTTAACCCTTCACTGCAATCAGAGATATCCCAGGGCTTATGGGTGCCTTTGACTTTCGTAAGTTCTGTTCTTTAGGAGAAGAATTAATGAAAAGTGTCTTTGTGAGACAAAATGGTTTTAGGTACGTGGCAAAAAAAGGGTTTATGCATGGAAGGATGAGACACTCAGGGAAAGGTCTGGGGAGTCTTGATTCATAGCTTTGGTTAAACTGTCGTCTGGATAGACCGTAATTACCAGGTAAATCAGTCAACATTTCCTGACTTGCCCAACGCTGTATGGATATGGTGGGACGGGTGATTCAGTACATTTGGCAGTCCACATACATACAGTGCCAGACAGTGTGTTTGTGTGTGTGTCAGTGGTGTTATACTTGTGAAGAGCAGTTTGGTCTTGACAAAAGATGCTTTGAGAATTTAGATTCTGTGTTTACAATCAACTAAAGGCTAAGGTGAGGGTAAAGGTCAAGGTTATGTATTTATTTGTGAGGTTTATAGCCAGGATTACAGGTTTGTAAATCAGTGAGTGTGTATGTGAATGCATGCCAGACCTGACCTAGACAGTTGCAAACCACAATTTTTTTATTTTCCTCTCTGTGTTATGTTGGTTTTCTATGTTCACACAGCTCTTACATCAGGCAGTATTTCTGTGCATCTTCTGTTTGTTTTGTAATCGTCAAGTGTGTGCGCTTGTGTGTGTTTTTTTCATTTTCAGGTCATGATAACCCAGACAGCCCAAGACACAAATACAACTTCATTGCCGACGTGGTGGAGAAAATTGCTCCGGCTGTGGTTCACATTGAACTCTTCCGCAAGTAAGATCCACGCACCTGTGTGTGTGTGTGTGTGTGTGTGTGTGTGTGTGTGTGTGTGTGTGTGTGTGTGTGTGTGTGTGTGTGTGTGTGTGTGTGTGTGTGTGTGTGTGTGTGTGTGTGTGTGTGTGTGTGTGTGTGTGTGTGTGTGTGTGTGTGTGGTGTGTGTGTGTGTGTGTGTGTGTGTGTGTGTGGTGTGTGTGTGTGTGTGTGTGTCTCAGTGTGTGTGGGACAGACCAAAACACACTAGAGTTTACAGCCCACCTGTGTACTTAACTAGACCACACCAGTTGCACATCACTTACGCTCCACTTTAGTCTGTCATCGTATTTTCTTCTCATTGTCTCACTAGCTTTCATGCTCTGTTATCTTTTATGCCCGCTTCTCATCCTTTGTTTTGACAACTCCATTCTTCATCTGTGTCACCTCCATCGTGTCTGTCACTGTGCTTGTAAAGTGATTCTTTGAACGTCGGCAGCTCTCTGATTTCAACGTTTCCGCCTTTCTCTCACTGTCTTTTTTCTTTCGTGTCGCTTTTTCTTCTCTCCTTCGCTGTCATTGCTTTAGTTTGACATGGAAACAGTTTTGCATTGAGGTTTTTCTGTATACTAATGCTGCAGTGTGTGTTTGTTTCCTTTTAATACTATGTTTATTTATACATTATCAAGCTCACCTTTGAATACTTACCTGCCTACTGTTTACATATTTACCTCCTGTGGAGACAGGCTTTAACTTTGTTTGCTTTCAGCTCTCAAGTGTTACACTGCTGTTACATCATGCATTGATTTTGCTGTCTTTTCAGGGTTTCTAGGTAAGAGATAAGATGAAAAAGTGAACTAAATTGAAAATTCTCTCCTCCTCCATCCCTCCCTTTCCCCAACAGGATGACCTATTCCAAGCGAGAGGTGGCGGTGGCCAGTGGTTCTGGCTTCATTGTGGCAGAAGATGGCCAGATTGTGACCAATGCCCACGTCGTGGCCAATAAGCATCGAGTGAAAGTGGAGCTGAAGGGCGGTGGTACCTATGATGCCAAAATCAAAGACGTAGATGAGAAATCAGACATCGCCCTCATCAAGATCGAAGCACCGGTCAGTCAAAGCTTGTCAATTTGGGAAATATGCTTAATCATTTTAATGCTGACGGTAAAAGATCAATACCACTTCATGACTTTTTAGGGGTTAGAAGCAGGAAGTGAATTAGCATAAAGGCTTAATGCTCGTAAAACCACAGCTTGTCTTTTTTCATTTCCGTTTGTGTACAGATACAAACAAAGCAGGGACAGGCCAGCTGTCTCCCTCTGCTTACAGTGTTTATGCTAAGCTAAGCTAAGCTAATGCCGCATGGCTCTAGCTTCATAGTTAGCATGCAAACATTTAAATAGTATTGATCTTTGCATTTAACTCCAAGCAAGAAAGCCAATAAGGGTATTTCCTAACATCTTACCCTAATCCATAAAAGAAAAAATAATGGTTGTGATGCAACAACATTTTCTGTCAGGTTATTTAAGCTAACTAAATCCGTTTTATAGACAACTGAATTTATGATTCAAACAAACCTTAGTGGTTTCACAAATGAGCTTTAATACAAGGATTTCTAAGTCAGGTAGAATTGGATACTTCTCTGCGCTCTCAACCACTGAAACAAGATCAAACGTTAACTCTCAGTTTTGTAATGATCCTGTTGGGAAATCAGTCTCACATGAAAGTGGTCTAAATCTGGGAGATCATTCACAGTGCAAGTGAAGGAAAGTGAGAATGCAGGTGCAGCTAAATGGGTCTTAAAAGACAGCTGGCCGGCAGTCGGTCCAGATCCTGGAGGTGTGCAAGCTGCAATAACAACAACTTGTAGAAACAATTACAAACCTGTGGTCAGTTTAAAGACTATGATGATATTTAAAGGAAAATAGGTATATCTTTCTAAACTTTGTTGCATTTACCATATTTGTTCTCCACTTTCTCTCCACTTCTCTATTTCTCTGTCTCCTGGACTAGAGGGATCCACATTACAATATAATCACAGTCAACAGTCATTTGAAGGAATGTGTGGCAGAGATCCAGGGCCTTTTGCCTGGGAGTCATAGCAGAGCAGAGTGCAATATGGAGCTTACTCTCATGGCTGGGTGACACAGCTGAATAGATGTTCATGACAGCAACACAAGGTGTATTACAAAGACCTCCAATTCTGAAAGAGGTTGAAACATTCAGGTTTTTGTTTGGCCGACAATGTGGGGGAAGACTGCGGAAAAGAGCTGTGACAGGCGCTTTGTTTTTGTTCATCCCACAATAAAAGCGGTTCCGTCTCTTAATGACAGGCCGGTCTTCATTCGGGGGATTTGTTTTCAACACATGCTCAGTGTGTACAGCCTTTTCAAAATTGATGCATATTCGGGAATAATTCATGTTGTAGAAGCATGAAAGATGATGGATGCTTCATCACTGCAGAAGTCGTTGTTTAAAATGTATTTGTAGCATTCCCTGCACAACGCATTGGTTGGAAAACAACAGGTGTTTGTAATAAAGCAGGTTAATGGTAATGAAATGACAGCCAGATGTATCCAGGGTGTCATACTGGCAGAAAACACATTCTCCGTAATGAATATCCTTGTAAAGATAAAGCGTGTAAGTGATTGTGTGAAGTCAGAGCAGGTTATCCCGGCCATGAGGCTGCGATGAGGCTCCAGAAGACCTGTGGTCTCTTTGTAAATGCCACAAGATTAAGATGGATTTGGCATTTCCGCAATGTGTGTGTGTGTGTGTGTGTGTGTGTGTGTGTGTGTGTGTGTGTGTGGTGTGTGTGTGTGTGTGTGTGTGTGTGTGTGTGTGTGTGTGTGTGTGTGTGTGTGTGTGTGTGTGTGTGTGTGTGTGTGTGTGTGTGTGTGTGTGTGTGTGTGTGTGTGTGTGTGTGTGTGTGTGTGTGTGTGTGTGTGTGTGTGTGTGTGTGTGTGTGTGTGTGTGTGTGTGTGTGTGTGTGTGTGTGTGTGTGTGTGTGTGTGTGTGTGTGTGTGATTTAGCAAGAGTTAATCGAGGGCAAAATGAGAGGATGAGTGCGTTATAATGAGAGGATAGCAGGGCAAGCCAACTTGTCATTTTGAATGACATTTAAAAGGGAAAGTATAGTCGTCCATACTTATAGCTTCTGGGTATTTAATTTCATAAACCTAAAGAGTAGTAATAACTACAAATTTCAGCTTATTCAAAGACAGTTCACTGAAAGTAGATAACGGATTGCAGTCGACACAAGTGTCAATTAAAATCTGGAGTCCTTGAGGGCAAGACAGGGTCAAGTTACAGAAAATGACTGGCAGGTTATAAAAAATAATCACAGTTGCAGCCACAGCCAAAACCCTTTTAATGAAAGATAAATGGAGAGTAATGAATCACCTTTTTGCTTATAAGACTTCATTTTAAGTCAATCAAGCCTTCAGAAAGGCTAACCTCACCATGGTATACTCCAAGTCAAGTCTCAAGTCTTTGCACCAAGTAACTGTGACTGCAACAGAGCAAGAAAAGAGAAAGATGTCCATAATTTCTTGCTGCAAACAACATTCATAGAGATTCCTTGAGCACAAATTGGACTGTTTTGTAGCTAAACATTCGTGAGTTTATAAATCCATATCCTGTCTGGAGCAGATTATGTATCTCTTTAATCTTCCATCCTTCCCTCCCTCATTCCTATGCCTCGCTCTCTGCTCCTTACTCTTCTCTCTGTTCAATTAAAGCTAAAAACTGTCAACGTCAGCACTCCAGAAGCGGCCATAGATAATCAACGAACAATTGGAGCAGTTTACGAGTGAGAACATTCAAACTTAGGTTTTTCCTGAGTAAAATGACTGGCTTCCTTTATTTTTCCTTTTCTATGTGAAATTGGAGTTTATTGGTAGCAAGACCCAGTGCGTTCTTGAGGCTGTGGTCTATCCTTCAACTCTGGGGAATACATTAGTCCATCTACAGCAGCTGGAACTTCAGAGGGGAAGGGGGGGGGGGGGGGGACAGTGCTGTACTCACTTGTTCCTGAGCGGAGAGTATGGGGGAAAAGGAGAAATCAAGAGGGACAGAGAAAAAGCGAGCGATGTGGTCAAGGCCTGGAAAATGGATCCACATGTCTGCAGGACTATGTGAGCTAATAGGCTAATGAGTGCATTGTGTGATGAGGCAAAGGAACAATCATGATATAACTCATTATGGCTGTAGCTCTTAAAAAGCCTTTCATCAACCTCTGAACTTGGACACGGTCACATTCACTTGGAAGTGTTTACGATGAATTGGACGCGTTCACATTTACCTGCTTTCACTCTGACTTGAAAAGCTTGCTGACTTGGAAGAACATTTATTTAATCACATCGACTGATATTGACCCCAGCGGACTTGGAAGCAATGCTGCCTTGGAATGACTTCAAACACTCGTGCAACGTACTGTGCAATGAAATGTTCCGTATCATTCCAGATCATTTTACTGCATGGCCTGTGCAGTCATTAACCTTGGCTTTGAGTGCTTTGTACTGCAAATGAACGCAGTGAACACATTGATCCTTGCCTTTATTCACACTGCAGGTCGAAACAAAAGTTCAAAGGATGGAATGGAAGTCCTGTAGCTTAAGGTATTTTGATAAAAACAAAAAACACAACAGTTACAATTGGGATTTGCGTATATGACATGTTAAAATGGAAAGGTAAACCCTTTTTTCTTAGGTGGGGTAATGATAATTGCTTTTAAAATAATAATGCAATCCTGCTGTAATTGTCATTAAGTCAACACACATGCTTAAAGTTAGCTTTACAAGAAGTGCAGTGTGGCAGGGAGAACTGACCTCATATTTCCCCTGAAACAATGGCACTGTTTGTCTCTGTATTATCCATCACCTGCTATTAAGAGTCTCAAACCGTTCTCTCTGGGAAAATTGCCTAGTGCTGGTTTGGACTGAACTATTATTTGTGTGTGTGTGCGTGTGTGTGTGTGTGTGTGCGCGCATGCGTGTTTCATTTCATTTCATTTTTATTTGTCCCGCTCATGGTACGCAAAACCCAATGTACAATAATTGCCAACAAAACATGTCTCTACAAACACACCATTGAGCGAAAAGGAGCAGGGAGAAGAAAAATATCTTATATGACCTGCCCCTTTCTAAAAAAATAATAAATAGAAATAGATGGGTTTTTTTTCACAGCCAAACATAACAGTATCTTAGGATACTAAGGGAAACACAAAAAATACTTATTTCCCACTTGACGGTTATATAGAGAGGAAAGCAAAGGAATGTGCCTCTGTGTAGCCATGTGGCCCTGCATTTATCCATCTGTTTATCAGCAACATTGGATAAATGTTTCCCCAGGAAGGCTGCATATCCCTTTGATGAACAGTCCTGACAGACAAATGCAAGCTTGCAATCAATTATTCGTGTCTGTGTGTCTGTGTGTCTGTACATGGATGGGTTTAAAACAGCTTACCACAGGGACCTGGGTGACTCGCTCCATTGCCAGTGGAAAGACACTGCATGTTGTCCTTCAGAGACAGGCAGAGGGGAAATGAATCATGTCCTCCTCTCCTCCTGAGTCCTGACCCAACCTTACTCCTTCATCTCTGTTCCCTGTGACCAAAAAAGTTCCCATGCTAAAGGATGCAGTCGTGTGGGAATAGAGCCAAGGAAAATACATACACTCCTGTCGCCCTGCTGGGTCTCGATGCACTTTCCCTTGGTCTACTTGTGGCTGCGTAATTGTTTTCCAAGCCGTCTGAACAGACCTTACCCAACGCTGTTTCAGGTTACTGTTTAATGGCGTCACTTTAGATGAGGCATGATAGAAACGGTTTAAATAAACCACAGCTATGGGCAGATGGTTGATAACCAACAGTGTGTTTTACTGACTTTCAGTTTATTCAGTTTTTGGAATTCATAAAGATAAGTCTATTATAAAATCTATCCAAAACGTATTTTTGAGGGGATTAGGAGCATATGATATAATCTTAATTAATTAATTCCTTATAGCGCTTTTTCCATGACGCAAAGCGCTTTACAGATACATACATGTAACGGTCATGTACTGTGGACAATACCCACAGGAGCAAATTCAGGTGAAGTGTCTTGCCCAAG